AAAAACATTTAAAATTATTCCGTGCTTTTTACAACTATATAAAGAGATGGCCGGATGACGAGGAGAAAAGGCACTTATACTTATATTCGTATAAATTAAATGGCCCTAGTATTTATATTCATAAACTTGCCAAATGAATTCGAATTAAGCTGAGATTAGACTCAGAAGTTTTCGTGGTTTTCGGTCCTGCTTTTTCCAATTGATTTGTTTAAAATAAGAATGGGAAACATAATAAATATATGAAAAGGCCTTCTTAATGCTCGTAGAACAAAATGCTCCCTTTAGATACATAACAGTCAAAAAATGTATGTATGTTAGGTAAAAGCTTTTATACCATTCAACGTATCCTCAACAAATTAGCCATTCTTCGACGCCTTAGAAAAAATATTGTGATGATCCCCACCTTCAACCACCCCTAAAGACTACTATCTCTTATCTTAATCCCGAGTACGTTTTTGTGTTTTGCAGTTTCATTATTGTAAATACTCAGGTCAATAAATATACTGTACATTTTAATTAGTAAGACTATTATTTTTATTACTCTCTTTCAACACAAGAAATCCCTCAGCTTCAAAAGTCCGAGCAACGCCGAGTACACGCAGCTAGTTTATAATAAGTATAAATGTTTTAGTTAAAAGTAGACCCTTTTACAAGGGTCTGGGATTCACGTTTTACATTTGTTTCATATTATTCTTTTCGTTTCTTTCCTTGTAAAAACACATTTATTTTTAAATCAAATTAACGTTATTATATGAAACGTAACAGTTTTCATGTATTTAAAACTTCATTGTTAATGTAAATATAGATAAAGCTAATGTATTTGTGTCGATTAAATTTTATTGAGACGTGTCTAAAACTAGAGTATTTAAAATAAAAACAAACTGTTGCTATATTGTTTTAAAATTTGGGTTAATAATAGTGCTGTGCGTTAACCGATATATCAAACGGAAATCGATACACCGATATAGCGAATGTCGATATATCGAAGGAATTTCAGTATTAACTCAAATATCGACATTGATATGACAATTTTGATTTAATAGACTTCTAACTGGGTTGCAATTTGAAAAAATTGTTGACCTATAAATTCCAACAGACGTCCATTTGTCTGTCTGTCCTTTCTTAATCTCGAGAACGGAGTTAGACAGATGAAAGCCGAGACCAGATATGAAAAACTTGAGATAAGAAGCCCCTATTAACTATACACTAACTTCCGATTTGCACCGGAAATTACGTTATTTTATTTCAAAGATTTATCCTGAAAGGTGTTAGATAGATTGATCGTCACGACTCTATTGTTAAAGGAAAAGTATGATATACAGGGGCAAGACATTACTACAGTAATTTAAGGTGACGAGCGTATATTCTAAATTAAATAAATTAAAAATATGATTAAAAATTTCAGCTCGGTATTGTGATGATGTCACAATATAATGAATACTCGTTAATAATTAAAAATTCCGGTACAATAACCTAAAATTTTAATTACAATAGATTGTGAAATAAAAATCATGAATTTTACTGATTTTTAGTGGATAAAATATAGAATATTCTCCTGAATATTTTTAATTATTCCATTTTAAAATAAATAGGGTACTACTATTATAAATAGGATAGGGGTGGATAAGAAATCGTTGGTGAAGAGATAAAGCAGTGTCTTTACATTGAAAGTTTTTTATTGTGTTCAAATTATACAAATGTCAGCGCAAATTGTAGCTCCTTTTAATTATCACTGGTGGTTCAAGTTGATTAACAAAGAAAAATATTGCATAATGTTTAACTAAATATTAATTTGTAAGTTGTAATTAGAATACTAAGCATATATAGATTCTGGAAATAAAATTTGGCGTAATACATTTATTGATATTTGGTCATTAATATGTTTTGTATAAGTTTAACTTAACCGAAAACAGTGTAAAATTCCATTTCGGTCGAACTTTATCTGTCTGTGAAAAATAAAACGATACCATATCCGATACCCGAGGAAAAGTTACCAGGATAAATTCTACCCTCCCGGTTATTTTCTTCTTGCAATTTTATATTTTGGCATTCCAAGAGCCCCAAAAATGTAAAAGTAACCTTACAAAAATTTTGTTTGTGTGTCGACGTCTATTTTTCTTATCTCAGGATTGGATAAACTAAAAATTTTAAACTTGACAAGATTATTTCAATATATGGGGCATTAATGCTATTAAATTTTGGTGGTTAAAGGTCGAGGGGTAGTGAGATAGAGAGAAGTCATGTGTCATATTTCTAATGGGGTCGAACTTAATGAAAATTTTACTGGTTATTGGAATTTAGAATATTTTTAAAAACGCATCTCTTTTCTCAAAATTAGGTCTTATTTTGCTTTAATAACACTTCATAACAGATTGCGCCACACACAATTTTAACTTTGAGATAATGTATCATAGTGTTTTTTTTAAACTTACATATTTTGTATTCAAATAAAGATTTTATCGTAATTCAACAAAATTTTAAACTTTTGCTATTATTTAAATTTTATAAAGCAGTATAATTAAAAATTATTGGGCTTCCTGGTTTTCTTAACCTTATGTTCGAATGCCGGAAATGTCAATCGAGAACTCTTTCCAGCTTTTTAAGTTTTTGGTTTGTTTAATACGATATTTTAAATTCTAAATTAATTTAATGACTGCATTAAAAAACTAACTTTAATTTAGGGCAATTATGATTATTCTGTTTAAAAGATAAAATATAAAAAGGTCATAACGTTATCAAACTGGTTATTTTCTCTATTGATTATTAAACAATATACATCAATATAAATGTTAATACAATATATTCATTTAATACATATACGGTCAAACCTCTGAACAATTGCCACTGATAGAAACATAAAGATAGTCGTTGTTCCGAAGTGGTCATTGTTTATTGAAGATTCAAACGAATTTAAGTAAAATGTATATTAATCAAACCATTTAGACATAGTTTACGTATAATATATTATAATGCAGAATACTATTTAATAAAAATATAAATTTATACAAAAAAGCTGAAGAAGAAATGAGCTTTACAAGTTAGAAGATTGTGTGGAGGATCTTGTAAGCAAAGCATCAAGGGCACATTCATGTAAAGTCAATATAAGTCTTGCGAAGTTTGTATTAGCGTGCAGGTCAGAACTGATAATTAGTATTTAATTTAACGGCTACTAAAAAAAGAAGAGATAATCATGAAAGACAAGATAATTTAATTCTACAAAATTTCCTTGCTGAATTTCGTTTAGAATTAAAAAATCTTAATGAATTAGTGTATTAATTTTACTTAGTATTTCATTCATTGGTACTATTAGGTTTATTATTGGTTAATTGTATGAAAATTCAGTAATTGATACTTTTCTGTGTTCCCCATTTAGAATAGTTTCTTATTTACATTTCAGAGCAGATGATCAAAATAATGACAGCTTCCATAATTTTGGTGGGGTATTTCTTAGCAAGTTTGTGGAATTTTTTTCTCGGAATTCATCCACAGTTTGCAAAGACTCCCGGTAAACGGATGCTTTTAAATGTCGTCATGAGAAGAAATTAAGAGGTTTTAGATCACGGGATTTAGCAAATCATTCGTACGGGCCTTTACGTCCAATTCAGCGCCCAGAAACTACATATCTAAGATGTTTCTGACGTTTGTTTGAAAGTAAACAGGAGTTCCGTCTTGTTGATATACTACACTATCCATATCAAACATGGAGATACCAGTGGCTTATTCCTACAGCGCTACATCCTGTTAGCCTGTTGCAAAATCTAAACGTGTTTCCACTGGCTATTGCAGATTTAAATCTCTTGCTTTATTATTCTACTGGTTGTGAATCAACAGCTTATGAAAAAAAAAGCAAATCGTGGTTAGTTTTATTTAAATAAAACTAAAAAAAGACAATAAAAAAACCGTTAATGTTTCATGTTACTGTATTACTATCATCTGAATATCGAGTACAGTATTAAAAAGAACAAGTTCAATCATCACAACATACCGATTAGTTATAGAACTAAGTAGCTGGAGCTACATTAGTTGAAAGTAGACACATATGAAATTTGTGCAATTAATTTCTATATGACAGTATAACCTATATATAAATGTAAATAGTGAAATTTATGATTCACCCTATTGTTTTAAATATTATTTTTTAACCTCTTTATGAGAACTCGAATTAATACAAAAAGTATATTAATCTAAATTTATAAAATTCGATAAATTTAGAATAACTCTTGTCTAATTTTACAAATTCGCTTAAGGCTATTGAAATTGACCTGCAACTAATAATCAGGTAGTTGACTGTGAGACATAAATAAATATAGGAAGTGAGAGGAAGAAAGTTCTACACTTTACACTGCTAACGTTACGTGTTATGCAGTTGAAAGTATTGTTTAGTGAACGTGCAATTAATAATACTTTTATGTAATTAACTTGTGTTAAGTCTGAATTAATAATAGGTAAGTAAATAATAATTTAATTTTAAACTTATCTGATAAGATTTAAAATTATTTATTTTATTTATTTATTAATATACTAAATATAAAAATATTTAGAAAAATTAATAATATGTTATTATAATTTATATTACTAAAATTGGTCTTTTGTATAATTGTATTGGTAAATTTTAAAAAAAAGTCCTTTTTATATAAAAATAATAAGCTTTAATAATAATTAAACGATAAAATCAAAATTAATTAATTGAAATATTTTATAAATTTTTTTATTTAGATTTTATTTTACTTAATTGAAGATTAAGCATGCCACTTTTACGCGCATTGGGTATGTTATTAACTTTGGCTAGTACTTTAAGAAGGGGGCCATTTCCGGTTGGTAAATTTTTCATTTTTTATTATATTTAAATGTTATTGTTAATCTAAGTAATTTATTCCACGTGTTTCTAGTTAAGTACATTAGAAAGACCAACGGTTTCTCTAGGTCCAGGTGCGTTTTCACGTTTAATGGGAAGGTCTCCACTACTTAGGATATTACCACCTGTTAGAACAATTCCTAGGATGCGAATATTTTCTTCTCCACATTTACCACGAATACCTATTATAGGTCCTGTAGGACCTATACCTCCTATAGGACCTATACCTCCTGTAGGACCTATACCTCCTGTAGGACAGATAGCACCTATAGCACCTGTACCACCTATAGGATTAAAACCAGTTTCAAAAACTCCTGCTCGTCGTTCTCCATCCAGAAAAACACCAGAAGAAAGCGAAAAATATTATATAAAATTTATTTCTAAAGGTTATATCAATTATATTATACATTTCAGTTATAAACTAATTGATTTCCAAACAGGATTAGTTTTATAAACATTTATAACAAAATACAGGATGGCTCAAAAGTCAGCTAACCGAAATATATTTTATTTTAGGAGCGGTTTGTAACAACTTCAATAACATGTAACTGTTCTATTCCCGTTAACTGAATTTTGGGCCATTTTTTTGTATAAGTAAAACAATTTTTAAATTTTTTTTAAATTTATGAGAAAATTGTTAATTGAAACATCTTAAATGTTGATCATTTTAATAGTAATTGAGAAAATAAATGTAACGAAAATAATAATTACCATAATAAATTGCTATATAGATTTTATGTTAATGATAATTAATGTACTATATATTTATTCTTCAAGTAAAAATTAAAATCTAGATTCCTTCTAGAAAGTAAAATTGTCAAGAAATCCATTCCTTTTAGAAGTATAGAGTACGCACTTGAAGGAAATAAAGTTTTGAATATTTTTGGTGAAAAAGTCCTTCCTAAACGTTAGTAAATTACTCAGATTAATAAAATAAATGATTAATTTAATCCTAATATAAAATTTAATTTATTTAGATGCTCCTATAATTGTATATATTCATGGAGGCAGATGGATACACGGAAAGTACTAACTTTTATATTATATTTAATAGTTATACACGATTTTTATATAAATTTAAGTTAATAATTTCTTTTATTTATTATTCTATATAATTGTTATTTAAATGCTCATCAGTATTAGCAGTATAAATATAATAGTTTTATCTTTAGTTAGATTAATCCTCTGAAAATAAATAAATAAATTTCTAGATGTATTTTTTGGAAATGTTGGTTCTATTGTTTTTATCATTTTTTATTTCTATGTCAGGGTGTAATTTATATCTATAAAAATAATTAAAATATAGTATTAACCAGAATATGGCTTTATTCAAATACAAAAACACACTAGCTAATGCATGAACTCTTTGAACCAGATTGATCAAAATCTAAGTTAAAAATGCATCTTTTAAATTAAACTTTTCACTTCGAAAAGTTGTGAAAATATTTATTAAACGTAAGTGAATAAATACATGACAAGATCCTGAAAAAATCTAGAAAAGAGTTGAGTAACTTTCCAGGCCAAACTTTAAAATTGCGTGTGGCACCATCTGTTAGGAGATTTTATTTAAAATAATTTTTATATTATTAGTTACTCTAAAATGGCAAAAACTTAACTTTGAGTATAGAAATGAATTTTATAAAAATAAAAATGTAAATGCTAATAACGAGTAAAATCGTCATTAGGTCCGGCCCCACTCGAGATGTGAAGCACGATCCCCTCTATCACTTTCCTCTCTTGACTTTTAACAGCCAAAATTTAATAGTATAAATCTCCCTAATACACAAACTTCCTTGCAAAATTTTAGAAATTTTCGACAAAAGACACAGGAGTTATTAAGCGTCAAAGTGGGTGAACAAAATCTTGCCTACCCCACACACAAACTACTAAAAACAAACAAATACAAACATCCATACATACAAAAAAACATTACAATCTCGACGTTTCAAGGTCCCCTGAGTCCAAATATGTAAAATATTAGGTGAAGGGGTCATTTTTTGACTGATTGACATACTTTCCCCTCTGTCATAACAGCTAAGAAAATAATAATGTACAGTATAGAAAAAAAAGAAAAAGAAAATTGATGTTATTTTAAATCAATATTAAAAATATAAGTTTTACAACTGAAACTTTTTAAACGTGTATGTTTTTATTATAATATAATAATGCAATAATAAAAAATATAACCTATTTTGAATGTAGGTAACGAAATTAATAAGACAATAGATAATCAATTAAAAGTTTAAAAAGTCATATATAAAAAAGTCATTTCTTGAAATAAGTTTTATATAATTAAATATTTATTTATATAATATATAACGTCTTTTAGTATATTTTCATTAAATATATTTAAAAATTATTCAATAATAATCACATACAATAATGTTCGTTATCAAAAAAATGGCTATAGAAATGTCAAACAGGGCTAAAGAGTAGTAGTTGTATGACCATATTATGAGAAGGGATAAAAACTATGTGTGTAGGATAATGATTGAGGTAGAAGTCAAAGGAAAAAGGAAAACAAATGTTGTAAGGATCATGAAAGGCTGATCTGAAGGAAAAAAGATTGACAGGAAAGAAAATAAACTAAAGAAGAGAGTGGAGATGATAAGAAATTACGACCATATATAGGTCATTGAAAAAGCTGAAGACAAATAAAATTCTCTTGTTTAATAATTTAATACTATTTCAAACATTTTAAGTCCCGCCAGTGAGCCAGTGGATAAAACCTCTAAACATTAGTAGTTGGTGGGTCGCGGGTTCAAGTCAAATTAAGTTTTTCTAGTTTTCTTCACGTTTCTAACGCCTAAATAGTGGTCGAAAATTCTTCCGAAGGCATCTTCCCTCGTCAGATCGCCTGTGTGTTGCGTACTTCATCAAAACCAAACATTTTAAACAGTAAACAGAAATTATTTTTCAATATTTATTTATTAAATATCATAAAATCAATGAATTTATTAATTTTCAATCAGCTAATAAATCAGTCAATATTTTTAAGTTACGACAACTTATTAATTTATATAAGAAAATGTATGTAATATTGAATTGTTTTGTTTTAGATTTCTCTTATATTACAAAGGGAATTTTAGTGAACTTTAAATAAAATAATAGTATTGTGTATTCTATGGCCGGGCTGAATTTAATCTTTTTAGGCACTAACTCGTTCACTCGTGCAATATGGGTGAGGGATGAGTTTGGTTCCTTTATGAAGCTAGATTGATCCTATCATGTGATCATTCCTCGATCTAAAGTTGCATTTGATTCATTTTGTAACTGATAGAATTTAGAGCATTAAAATTTAATAATTTAAATCATTATTTTAATACTTTAATAGTAAATTATAAAATATTTCAGCATTGAATCTTCAAGCTTTTTTGTGAAACCATTTTTTGAAGCGGGAGTGATATCTATTGTAGTAGGATACGACGCTTCCGAAAAAGGTACGAACAATAAATAAATTTAACATATAAATAATGAAAATTTCCCATTCAAACATTTTTAATTAATGTAAAAAATACTTTAAATTTGCCATTTTTCCTAATTAAATTTCTAGAGGAGAAATTAATACTTACATTTCATTAATCTAAATATTTACATGTATCTGTTAATAATAATTTGATATTAATAATAAAATTTTAATTTATTCAGTATCGTTAGATACAATGCTCCAGGAGATCCAACAAGCAATGACGTGGATTGTTTATTATGGAAAGAGAAGAGGTTCCAGGTAAACCTCAATAGATAAAACGTTGTCTAATCTGTCTGATCTAATTATTTATTTATTGTAGATTATTGTTTTGAATTAATATTATTAAGAAGTAGTCAATTCTGAAACCGCTTTGTGAGTTGCCTGTGGATGAAACCTGTTTCCTATAAGAAGTAATTAGTACAAAAACAAGGCAAGCGTTATCTTGGACTAATTAGTTCTTACACAAAACACAATTATTGATAAGTAGCACTTCCATTGTTATTAATTTAAAACAATAATCACATTAAAATTAATTAAATAATTATAATAAACATTATTTAATGATTCAAACTCCTCCTTCATGCGTAACTATTTTTGTCAACAAGTAGCCTATATATGAAATTGTGCATTTATTTTTTTAATTTACACGCAAAAACACCATACTAAACCGATTGTGTGAAAAATTGCGTGAAAACATTGAATTATGCGACAAATTAAATAAATAAATAAATAAAAATAGAAAATTATATAACAGTGTAAAATAAATATTGGTGTGGTCAAGAGATGGCGTTAAGCACTTGTTTACAATAGAATTCATAGATCTATCTGAGTAGCGAGCGAATCGGTAGATCTACGTTTAGAGTTTCTCGTTCAAAATAATTATGCGTATATATTTTGTGTCCAACAATATCGCAAAAATGAGTATTTATTAATATAAAATATCATAATACAGTACTTAATATACCTTTTCTTCTTCTATTCCTGCTTATTTGGAGGTAGCAATTTTTCTTTCCTTTCCACTTATTTTATTTTTATATCGGGTTGCTATTTTTAATGATCCTCCATCAGGCTGCTTGATCTTTAATAATTTCTCTATAAAAACCGATCTCAGTATTACATAGATAAAAATTCTTATGTGAAAAAATAAATCAAAGTAATCGTTTGTTATCTACATTCTACTCAATAAATATTGTTTAACCAACACTATTATTTATCTTGAGTAAAAACCTGAAGTTTAATAAACCAAGGTAAATTTTTGTTTATATCTACAGAAAATTAGATAAATTCGAATATAATCTTTAGATTTAACACAATTATTTTAAAAGCCGCTTATTAGATTTAATTGACTGCTGCCACAATAAATTTGTTTAATGTCTTATGAAATTAAGAAACGTATCTACTGTAGATTTTTTTGTTATTTTAAAATAACAATGCTAGTAATGGTTTTGAATATATTATCCAACTGTATAATTTCTTCTTCTTCCTTCTCCTCATCCGTCCATTGATGAATTGATCCATCAATGGACGGATGAGGAGTCCATTGATCCTCCTCATGATGGATTGATTCTCATATGGATTGGTTTTTCCATTGGTTCCTGTTTTATGCATTTGTCCACTTTGATAGAATTCATAAAATATTGTTCTGGAAGGCAAGGATTTGACCCAATTAATTAGAGTTTTCCAGATTGCCTTCATCCGTCCATTCTTCTATTCAGCAACACAAGTGACAAACATTATGCTTCCATCCGAGAAATATAACCAAACCAGAGAAGTTAATGTCCTATATAATATATGTTATACCGTATTTCCTCGAAAATAATCCCTACCCATAAAATAAGCCCCAGTTAAGATCGTCAGTTACATGAATACGTCCGTTGCAACCGACGACGGTCGTATAGAATTGTAAAATAATAATATTAATATATAAGTTAATTAAATATAAATGAATATTATTATTGACATTAATACTTAATTATAATTTATATTATCATTTATTTTACATATTTGAAAATACCCAAGCGAACGAGATCTCCCCCTTAAAATAAGATCTAATGCATCTTTTGGAGCAAAAATTAATATAAGACCCGGTCTTATTTTTGGGGAAACACTGTGGTTTTTTTAAATAAAGATTTCCTTTCTAATTGCACTTCTATCTTTTTTCTTTGAACCATCATAAGAAATATTCAATAATAAATAGATAAATAATTAGTAAGTACAGTAGTTATTATAACTGTATACTAAATATAGTCGAATTATTTATGATATAAATTCAATAAAAATTCGAAAGACTGATTTTTTTTATTCACAAGAAAATATTTAAAATGGCATAAAAGTCAGTTAACGCATATTTTTGCAAAGTTCAACAGTTTATAATTAATTAATAAAATATTCAGTTAAGTGATTTTTGGGTTATTCTATATTTTCTGTCTTCGTTATTTATTTGAATTAGATATACGAATTTTTGAGTTCGTGTGCTATTTATTTATAAAATATTATCTCAAATCTTTTATTAAATATTTTACTATATAGAATAAATAATTATTTTTGCAAATTATTTAGAGGAATTTATCTAATGGGACATTCAGGAGGAGCGCATTTAGCAGCCATGTTTATATCATCGAGTTGGATGACTCAAGAAAAATATTCTCATTATCTAAAAGGTAATTAAGTTTAATTTATAATTAATATGCTAGAAAAAAAATCGATGATATTAATTTTTCATCTATTTAAGGGATTGCACTCGTATCTGGACTATACGATGTTACAGCTTTAACGAATGTAGAGATGTTTCTGACGTTTGTTTGAAAGTAAACAGGAGTTCCGTCTTGTTGATATACTACACTATCCATATCAAACATGGAGATACCAGTGGCTTATTCCTACAGCGCTACATCCTGTTAGCCTGTTGCAAAATCTAAACGTGTTTCCACTGGCTATTGCAGATTTAAATCTCTTGCTTTATTATTCTACTGGTTGTGAATCAACAGCTTATGAAAAAAAAAGCAAATCGTGGTTAGTTTTATTTAAATAAAACTAAAAAAAGACAATAAAAAAACCGTTAATGTTTCATGTTACTGTATTACTATCATCTGAATATCGAGTACAGTATTAAAAAGAACAAGTTCAATCATCACAACATACCGATTAGTTATAGAACTAAGTAGCTGGAGCTACATTAGTTGAAAGTAGACACATATGAAATTTGTGCAATTAATTTCTATATGACAGTATAACCTATATATAAATGTAAATAGTGAAATTTATGATTCACCCTATTGTTTTAAATATTATTTTTTAACCTCTTTATGAGAACTCGAATTAATACAAAAAGTATATTAATCTAAATTTATAAAATTCGATAAATTTAGAATAACTCTTGTCTAATTTTACAAATTCGCTTAAGGCTATTGAAATTGACCTGCAACTAATAATCAGGTAGTTGACTGTGAGACATAAATAAATGTAGGAAGTGAGAGGAAGAAAGTTCTACACTTTACACTGCTAACGTTACGTGTTATGCAGTTGAAACTATTGTTTAGTGAACGTGCAATTAATAATACTTTTATGTAATTAACTTGTGTTAAGTCTGAATTAATAATAGGTAAGTAAATAATAATTTAATTTTAAACTTATCTGATAAGATTTAAAATTATTTATTTTATTT